AATTTGCTGTCGCTAGGGCGGCGGACGTACCGTACAGCCATGCGCGGCAAACTTTAGATGTGCATGAGTTTGTCGACTGTAGTACCAAACTGGGGCAGTTCGGCGACGGAGGGAGGGGCATTTTGCACGTTTGCTAGTTCCTGTCAACGTGTCGGCCCATTTACACAGCGATTTCGTGAACTTGCAAGAACTGACAGGTTTTACCGTGATGGCTCGCGAGCTTGCTCCACCTTCAGAAGAGTGCGCAGGTTTCACCAGAGAGAGACCTGTGAACCGAAACTAGCGAAACGGCCGAAATGCAAAATGCCCCCGTCGCCGAACTCGCCCCAAAACTTATATGAATTCATGCAAACAGAAGACTGTGACGGGCGATATCAAATTTCCCCATCAACCTGACACGCTTACCGAAACAGCCAGGCAGGACAAGTCGTCCATCGGGCGCGGTCTCGCTCGCCACGCGTACCAGCACGGCATATTACGATTGTCTTGTCACATACCCCTAATCAATAGCGACCCGAGGGTCCGCTCGCTTTTCGAGCGTAGCTCCAACTTGCTCAGAATATGAGAGAATATTCGTCCTTCTAATCATCTGGTATTGATATATGGCAACCATCAAAAGAAAATCATGGATTCTCTCCTATTGACAGTAGGGAATCATCTCTTTGGTTCTGACGATGTATGCCATCCAGTATTATCACTATAAAATCCTAGTCCTAAAAGTCTGCCATTTGCTACACTCCATATCCATGAGGCGCGCTAGGCGTGGCTGCGTCCTTCAATTGAACATGGCGTGGGACTGGCTACTCGTGAGCTGCTCAACTTGACACAGCTGTCGGTCATCTTGTCCTGTACTGGACAACGACATGATTACAAGTGTTTCGAAACGAAAACGTCCCATCAAAAGCTCACCACCGCCGCCATGTTCAAGTGAAAAGCGTAGCCACGCCCACCGCACCTCAGGGACATAGCCTGTAAGTCCGTGCGACGCGCTCAGACGCAGTGCGCGGGCCCGCACGCAGGGCTAGAAATATCGCGTCGCAGTCTATGTGAGCGGAGTCCTAAGCAAAGAATATGGAATGGTTATG